TCATATATAGCATGTGAAAAACAGAAATATGAACATTAATATTGTAAAACTTTAATAAATTCCTTCCAAAACACTTAATATTCAACTGGAAAAATCAGCTAAAATCAATCTGTTTTGAATGTCTTGTTTGTGTTTTCACATATGCTGTTATAGACATTTTAGATACCCTTTTGATTCTTATTTAATTTTATTGTAAAATCTGAAAGGGATGGATTAACGTAAGAAATTTTGTTTAGTATCTTTTGTGTGAACACTTTTTATCAACTATCTGCTTTTCCTCTTTTTTCCATTTATCTTTACTGGTATCCATTACCTAAACTCTAGACATTATAGCCGGCCTTTGCTTACTTTGTTACCTTTTACAAATGAAATTCCTTTTTTTTCCTCAATTAAAGCACTTTTTTAATGCTGTATTATAGTTGTTTTTATTTACCCTTTATTGTGTATTAAGTTGTGTGAAATTAACTGAAAAGAATTGGATTGACATTCTGTATAAATGTTGTTTATATTTGTACATATTATAATTTTCATATCTTTATTGATGAATTTTACAGTTTTGTACATAGCTCTTTATGCTTGGGGTATTCCATGTAAACTTGTGTATATGTTTTTGTTTTTTCCCCTGTAATTTCTGTATAAGACAGTACATGTAATATAGAAGTTGTTTGTTTAATTTGAAGAAAAATAATTCTCAATTTTGTGTCATAAGACATTGGTACATTTTAAATTTGCAATATGCAATATCTATATAATAAATCAATGTCAAATCATATTTAAAAATATATTTGTAGACATGAAAACATACAAATGACCCCCCCCCCCCCCCCCCCCCCCCCCAAAAAAAACCAACTAAAAACAAAAACAATAACAAAAAGACATTAATCAATAAAAAATAAATAAGAAATCTACATAGCATTTAGGTAATTAGATGTGCTTCATCAAGGTTATAGACAGATCATGATTATACATATCAACATTACTCCTTGGTAACTCTGTGTGTTTTGTTCATCTCTTGAAGTTTTGGAACATCTGGCACTGGTAAATATCATTCTCCTGTGGATGATTATATTTTTTACTCTGATTGACCTCAAAGAAGTCAATAATTGTAAACCTTTGTATATTGGAGTGAATTATCATCAAGACTTGATTAAATCAATGTTTCTACTTTGCTGTTGGAAATCAGTAGAGTTGACCATTATCTATACAGTTTACACTTTCAGTACAGGGATCCCTTTATATATGTTGCTATATTGGTAGGTAAAATCACTAGAGTTGACCATTATCTATACAGTTTACACTTTCAGTACAGGGATCCCTTTATATATGTTGCTATATTGGTAGGTAAAATCACTAGAGTTGACCATTATCTATACAGTTTACACTTTCAGTACAGGGATCCCTTTATATATGTTGCTATATTGGTAGGTAAAATCACTAGAGTTGACCATTATCTATACAGTTTACACTTTCAGTACAGGGATCCCTTTATATATGTTGCTATATTGGTAGGTAAAATCACTAGAGTTGACCATTATCTATACAGTTTACACTTTCAGTACAGGGATCCCTTTATATATGTTGCTATATTGGTAGGTAAAATCACTAGAGTTGACCATTATCTATACAGTTTACACTTTCAGTACAGGGATCCCTTTATATATGTTGCTATATTGGTAGGTAAAATCACTAGAGTTGACCATTATCTATACAGTTTACACTTTCAGTACAGGGATCCCTTTATATATGTTGCTATATTGGTAGGTAAAATCACTAGAGTTGACCATTATCTATACAGTTTACACTTTCAGTACAGGGATCCCTTTATATATGTTGCTATATTGGTAGGTAAAATCACTAGAGTTGACCATTATCTATACAGTTTACACTTTCAGTACAGGGATCCCTTTATATATGTTGCTATATTGGTAGGTAAAATCACTAGAGTTGACCATTATCTATACAGTTTACACTTTCAGTACAGGGATCCCTTTATATATGTTGCTATATTGGTAGGTAAAATCACTAGAGTTGACCATTATCTATACAGTTTACACTTTCAGTACAGGGATCCCTTTATATATGTTGCTATATTGGTAGGTAAAATCACTAGAGTTGACCATTATCTATACAGTTTACACTTTCAGTACAGGGATCCCTTTATATATGTTGCTATATTGGTAGGTAAAATCACTAGAGTTGACCATTATCTATACAGTTTACACTTTCAGTACAGGGATCCCTTTATATATGTTGCTATATTGGTAGGTAAAATCACTAGAGTTGACCATTATCTATACAGTTTACACTTTCAGTACAGGGATCCCTTTATATATGTTGCTATATTGGTAGGTAAAATCACTAGAGTTGACCATTATCTATACAGTTTACACTTTCAGTACAGGGATCCCTTTATATATGTTGCTATATTGGTAGGTAAAATCACTAGAGTTGACCATTATCTATACAGTTTACACTTTCAGTACAGGGATCCCTTTATATATGTTGCTATATTGGTAGGTAAAATCACTAGAGTTGACCATTATCTATACAGTTTACACTTTCAGTACAGGGATCCCTTTATATATGTTGCTATATTGGTAGGTAAAATCACTAGAGTTGACCATTATCTATACAGTTTACACTTTCAGTACAGGGATCCCTTTATATATGTTGCTATATTGGTAGGTAAAATCACTAGAGTTGACCATTATCTATACAGTTTACACTTTCAGTACAGGGATCCCTTTATATATGTTGCTATATTGGTAGGTAAAATCACTAGAGTTGACCATTATCTATACAGTTTACACTTTCAGTACAGGGATCCCTTTATATATGTTGCTATATTGGTAGGTAAAATCACTAGAGTTGACCATTATCTATACAGTTTACACTTTCAGTACAGGGATCCCTTTATATATGTTGCTATATTGGTAGGTAAAATCACTAGAGTTGACCATTATCTATACAGTTTACACTTTCAGTACAGGGATCCCTTTATATATGTTGCTATATTGGTAGGTAAAATCACTAGAGTTGACCATTATCTATACAGTTTACACTTTCAGTACAGGGATCCCTTTATATATGTTGCTATATTGGTAGGTAAAATCACTAGAGTTGACCATTATCTATACAGTTTACACTTTCAGTACAGGGATCCCTTTATATATGTTGCTATATTGGTAGGTAAAATCACTAGAGTTGACCATTATCTATACAGTTTACACTTTCAGTACAGGGATCCCTTTATATATGTTGCTATATTGGTAGGTAAAATCACTAGAGTTGACCATTATCTATACAGTTTACACTTTCAGTACAGGGATCCCTTTATATATGTTGCTATATTGGTAGGTAAAATCACTAGAGTTGACCATTATCTATACAGTTTACACTTTCAGTACAGGGATCCCTTTATATATGTTGCTATATTGGTAGGTAAAATCACTAGAGTTGACCATTATCTATACAGTTTACACTTTCAGTACAGGGATCCCTTTATATATGTTGCTATATTGGTAGGTAAAATCACTAGAGTTGACCATTATCTATACAGTTTACACTTTCAGTACAGGGATCCCTTTATATATGTTGCTATATTGGTAGGTAAAATCACTAGAGTTGACCATTATCTATACAGTTTACACTTTCAGTACAGGGATCCCTTTATATATGTTGCTATATTGGTAGGTAAAATCACTAGAGTTGACCATTATCTATACAGTTTACACTTTCAGTACAGGGATCCCTTTATATATGTTGCTATATTGGTAGGTAAAATCACTAGAGTTGACCATTATCTATACAGTTTACACTTTCAGTACAGGGATCCCTTTATATATGTTGCTATATTGGTAGGTAAAATCACTAGAGTTGACCATTATCTATACAGTTTACACTTTCAGTACAGGGATCCCTTTATATATGTTGCTATATTGGTAGGTAAAATCACTAGAGTTGACCATTATCTATACAGTTTACACTTTCAGTACAGGGATCCCTTTATATATGTTGCTATATTGGTAGGTAAAATCACTAGAGTTGACCATTATCTATACAGTTTACACTTTCAGTACAGGGATCCCTTTATATATGTTGCTATATTGGTAGGTAAAATCACTAGAGTTGACCATTATCTATACAGTTTACACTTTCAGTACAGGGATCCCTTTATATATGTTGCTATATTGGTAGGTAAAATCACTAGAGTTGACCATTATCTATACAGTTTACACTTTCAGTACAGGGATCCCTTTATATATGTTGCTATATTGGTAGGTAAAATCACTAGAGTTGACCATTATCTATACAGTTTACACTTTCAGTACAGGGATCCCTTTATATATGTTGCTATATTGGTAGGTAAAATCACTAGAGTTGACCATTATCTATACAGTTTACACTTTCAGTACAGGGATCCCTTTATATATGTTGCTATATTGGTAGGTAAAATCACTAGAGTTGACCATTATCTATACAGTTTACACTTTCAGTACAGGGATCCCTTTATATATGTTGCTATATTGGTAGGTAAAATCACTAGAGTTGACCATTATCTATACAGTTTACACTTTCAGTACAGGGATCCCTTTATATATGTTGCTATATTGGTAGGTAAAATCACTAGAGTTGACCATTATCTATACAGTTTACACTTTCAGTACAGGGATCCCTTTATATATGTTGCTATATTGGTAGGTAAAATCACTAGAGTTGACCATTATCTATACAGTTTACACTTTCAGTACAGGGATCCCTTTATATATGTTGCTATATTGGTAGGTAAAATCACTAGAGTTGACCATTATCTATACAGTTTACACTTTCAGTACAGGGATCCCTTTATATATGTTGCTATATTGGTAGGTAAAATCACTAGAGTTGACCATTATCTATACAGTTTACACTTTCAGTACAGGGATCCCTTTATATATGTTGCTATATTGGTAGGTAAAATCACTAGAGTTGACCATTATCTATACAGTTTACACTTTCAGTACAGGGATTCCTTTATCTATGCCGCTGGTAATGAAACAGATGATGCCCTCAACTTCATCGAATGGCTGCCCACTTTTCAGGTGAAGTACCTCAACTGAATAATTTGTTTTATTAATGACTTATTCTCCAAACATTCCATTAATTATCTCCCATTTAATCTTTTTAAGATTTCTCTATCTTCCTTGGGGTATAGGATTCCTCTGTCACCCCCTTGGGTATTTGTTCAGTAGTTTTTGTATTTTCATACATAACTTAATACATATTCCGGATCTTTTTGTTAACACTCTGACTTCATCATTTCTGCCCACTGTATATTTGAAAAGGTAATATTGCCAAATCTTTTACCAAGAATAACCTTCGTTTGCTCTTTGTCACCTATTTCTGAGAATTTGACACAATTGTTAACATTTAAAATATTATCAACAGTCTCCAGGATAGGATCGGTAAAAAAGAATCATTTTCCTAGAGTATGAGTATGTGGGATTCCTGAATGTCTAGAACCATCAGCTTGAAGCAAGCCTTGGTCTAGAAAACTATTTGTTGCAATTTTATTAAATGCCCAACAAAGACAACACTCTCAGGATCATGTTGGTAGATTTTGCATGATTTAGAAAAATCCCCATGAGGTAAAACTTCATTTTGTACATGAATACGATCCTCCATTGTTCTGATAATGGCCCCTGATAGGAGGCTACAAATTAAAGAAGACATCTACAGATGTAACCCTGGCTGCAGTGTGGTTTTATTGACTACCTATGACAAAGTTAGTTAGTATCTAACATAGAAATGGTATCACAGATCATTGATCAGCTTCTCTCTGTGCTGTAAGTCCTCATTGGTCAGCTTCTCTCTGTGCTGTTAGTCCTCATTGATCAGCTTCTCTCTGTGCTGTTAGTCCTCATTGATAAGCTTCTCTCTGTGCTGTAAGTCCTCATTGATCAGCTTCTCTTTGTGCTGTAAGTCCTCATTGATAAGCTTCTCTCTGTGCTGTAAATCCTCATTGATGATAAGTAGATATTTAACATGTTGTAAGAATTGTTTACCATATATCTTTTCATGGGGTCAATATCTCATAGGAATTTGACATATAGAAACCTTACAAATTGGCTCAATAAAATTGATGAATCATTGAGCATAAGTAAGATTCATGATAACCAACATACACTTCAACTTTTCCTTTAAAACGCTACTTGTCCTGTAGAAACCTTACAAATTGGCTCAATAAAATTGATGAATCATTGAGCATAAGTAAGATTCATGATAACCAACATACACTTCAACTTTTCCTTTAAAACGCTACTTGTCCTGAACAGCCAAGTAGATTTTATCCTAATTTGGTCTGGAGCATCCTTGGGCCAAGGGGACTCAGTTTTGTATAAATGGTGGGTTTGGCCCCCCTGGGGGCAGAGGGGCGGGGCCCAATAGGAGAAATAGACGTAAAATCTTTAAAATCCTTCTTCTGCAGTAGGGATAAAGGGATTTTATCCTAATTTGGTCTTGAGCATCCTTGGGCCAAGGGGACTCAGTTTTGTATAAACCGTGGGTTTGGCCCCTAAAGGGCCCGAGGGGCGGCCAGCCCAATAGGGGAACATAGCAAATTATTCTTTAAAATCCTTCTCCTTCTGTAGGATTGACAGGATTTCGTCCATATTTGCTGTTGCATCCTTGGGTTAAGGGAAACCAATTTTGTGTAAACGGTGGGTCTGGCCCCCTTGGGGGCTGAGGGGCAGGGCCCAATATGGGAAATATAGCAAATTCTTAAAAATCCTTCTTCTTCTGTAGGAATGACAGGATTTATTCCATATTTAGTCTGAAGCATCCTTAGGTGAAGGGGTACCAATTTTGTATAAACCATGGGTCTGACCCCCCAGGGACCTGAGGGGCGGGGCCCAATAGGGGAACATAGCAAATTATTCTTTAAAATCCTTCTTCTACCATAGGGATTAAGGGATTTTATCCTAATTAGGCTGGAGCATCCTTGGGCCAAGGGGACTCAAATTTGTATAAGCAGTGGGTGGGGTCTCCCAGGGGGCAGAAGGGCACGGTCCAATAGGAGAAATAGAGGTAAAACCTTTAAAATCCTTCTTCGATCATCATGATTTAGGGATTTTATCCTTATTTAGTCTGGAGCATCCTTTGGTCAAGGGGACTCAATTTTGTATAAACGGTGGGTATGACCCCCCTAGGGGCATAAGGGTGGGGCTCTGTTTAAAACTTGTTACATCTCAAGTACTGGATGGATCTTTCTGAAATTTCATATGTATTACAACACCTACCATGGAGTGCTATATCTTAACTTCATACCAATTATTTCAAACATATTCAGGTGAGCGATACAGGCCCTATGGGCCTTTTGTTATAAATAAGGCTGGACCCTTATATAAGTGTTTGAGGTAAGTTTGCCTGGTAATAAATAAGGCTGGAGGCTTATGTAAGTGTTTGAGGTAAGTTTGCCTGGTAATAAATAAGGCTGGATGAGACTCTTTTTAAGTGATGGTTAAAAAGTTAGACATTTGATTGTGTAAGACAAAAGTCACAGTACATATTACTGTAATGATATATTTTATACAGAGTGAGGTGCGGTCTTTACAGCGCAGTGTGCGACAGGAGCCGTTGTCTACTGTGAGGGATATCATTGAGTCCTGTCACCGACCAGACATGCTGGTCAACTGCAGAGACAAAGTAAGGCATTGTTAAATCTGGGTCTTGTGCAACCTTGTCACAAGTCACATTATAAAATCTTAGTCTTGTGGAACCTTGTCACACAAGTCAGATTATCATGGTCATATTTATATTTGTGCAGTAGCATGCTTGTATAAAGGGCTATCAAGTCAGGTTTGATTAGAGGAATTACCTGAACAACTTTAAAAGTCACAGGAGTCAAATGTGTAAAAAGCTTTGAATTACTGCTTGCCTATGAATAAGCAAGGGGCTTAGAGTCACGGTCATTTACCAGTGGCATTGAAGGAATTAAGGGCCATAAAGTTTGTTCAAATAAGTAACTAAAGTTGAAATCTTTCAGCAAAGATTCAAAAGATGTCGAGTTATTCAATCTAACAACAATAATCCATAATGTGTTATGATATTTTGCCAACCAATATTTAGATATATTTGACCTTGACCCTGTTTGAAGGTCGAAGATGTGAGATGAATTACAGGTGAGCAATGGAGACCAACTAGGCCTCTTGTTAACAATACATTTGATGAATCCTCTCTGCCCCTGGTCAGCATCAAATGGTCTTGTTCATAAACTAAGTTCCTTTGATAGGGAGCTGGTAATGCTTTTAGTGTATTTTCTTGTGAGTTTATGATCAACTCATTTCTTGGTCATACGGGCTGGTTAGTATTCTCGCCTTGAAATGTGATGTTCCAATTTTTATAATATTGGAAGATTTGTAGCCTTTCCTGTTCACACTTTGTGACCTTTATCCCAAACGATGTTGATGTCCAACATGTCTCTTCTTTGTGATGTGCAAGATTCAGATAAATTTCTGAAACTTCCAGATTTCCCATGCAACAGATGGCATATGGCATTCGGAGCTTGTTCCCCCACCCACCCACCCAGAGTATCACTTTATCCTGCGTAGTGGTGTCCCCATTGACTGTTTAATGCTATTGTAAGATGTAATCCTTTTACATGATGCAGATTTCAACTTCTTTTATCCAGTATTTCAGGGGTGTTTTCTTTATGGCTAGGGAATGTTTGGTCGTAATGGTTTCCAGCCTTTTCAAATCTTTGAAATAGCCGCTCTATATATTGATTCATAAAGCTTGTATCTTTGCCAACACAATATGATCTCCGTACTATGATTCTGACTTGACTTCTTCCTTTACCACCGTTTTCATCATTGAACCAGTTATACAAGGGGAGGGCGTACGCACCTCTTCCATGTTTAATTGTCATGGTAAACAATCTAGATTGTGACATCACACAAAATGGACATTGTGATGTCATCATATATTGATGGAACTAATTATGTGTTATATGATAAAATAGATTTCAATTAATATGTCCATTTTAACAATAATATACGACAAGCTACACTTTGTTTAAATGATTGAACAAATGAAAATGAATGTTTCACACATAAATGATTGATGTAACACTAGCTTTGTATTTTGTTTCTGTAGGCAATGAGGACACCTTTGATCCTGGCCTGCCTGTTTGCCCGCGAGGACATTGTAAAGTACCTCCTAGACTTACCCAGTATCAATGTTAACAGCACTGACTGTGTATGTATCAGGTTAATTATACATTTATATCAAACACAATCAATTCTTGTTTGGTAAATACAGTGAACATTTGTTTTATTAGCTATTACTTTTTTACTGAATTATGTTTAGAACACTAGAAAAAGAGAAAGGAATTCCAATCAGATTTTTCTTACCTGTTGTTTGTTGTTCAGTGTGACAGAAGCTGTTGACATTACACTTACCTGTTGTTTGTTGTTCAGTGTGACAGAAGCTGTTTACATTACTCCTACCTGTCGTTTGTTGTTCAGTGTAATATAAGCTGTTTACATTACACTTACCTGTTGTTTGTTGTTCAGTGTGACAGAAGCTGTTAACATTACTCCTACCTGTCGTTTGTTGTTCAGTGTGACAGAAGCTGTTTACATTACTCCTACCTGTTGTTTGTTGTTCAGTGTGACAGAAGCTGTTAACATTACTCCTACCTGTTGTTTGTTGTTCAGTGTGACAGAAGCTGTTAACATTACTCCTACCTGTTGTTTGTTGTTCAGTGTCACAGAAGTTGTTTACATCACTTCTACCTGTTGTTTGTTGTTCAGTGTGACAGAAGCTGTTTACATTCCTCCTACTTGTCATTTGTTGTTCAGTGTGACAGAAGGTGTTTACATTACTCCTACCTGTTGTTTGTTGTTCAGTGTGACAGAAGCTGTTTATATTACTCCTACCTGTCGTTTGTTGTTCAGTGTTACAGAAAT